AATTTGTAAAGAAACTTACATTTAAATATTATATATAATTTTATAAAAATAATTAGTTATAAAATATTCTAGTATTATTATTAGCTACTTAATATATATTTAGTATATATATTTGCAAAAGTTGTTACAAACTACAGTATATTTCAGCTAATATTCATATGTAATTATAAATTTATTAAGTTTTTGCAGTAAATTTTTTTTGGTATATTATTAATATATATTGTTAACTCTCTTCAAACTAGTACATATAGTGGACAGATTTTGTATCAGTTTTAAAAGGTTATCAGATTTGAAAAAATTATGTGACAAGTGATTACTAATCTTCTAATCAAATTACAGGACTAACAAAAATATATTTGGTTAGAAAAACTTGTGATCTATGGTAAGTACTATAATTAAATAAAAATATTATATGTATATATGTAGTTCAAAAATTTAAATTCAATAAATTGCTACTTTTTATTAAAAGTTTCACATATTTATCATTATATACATCTTTTTAATTGGTACCCATAGTATGAATTTTACCTGATGAGGCTTAAAACCAGTTTGCACTTATTACCAACAATGATGTTTATTTATTATATTTGAATGCCAATCTGGTTCGATAAAACCAAATTAGATAGGGTTCTGTATCATAAATGTGTTTATATTCTTAAAAATGTTGATTGAATTCTAGATTAGCTTTGAATTTATGAGAAAAAATAATGTGACTAAATACTTCATAAAAATACTTTTAAATTTCCAAATATTCTACAAGTATAAGCAAAAAAATCTGCTATAATTTCTAGCTCAAATCCATAAATGGCTATATAAAAAACCTAGATCTGTTACATTTTACCAATTTTAAAACCTATAATAAACTCAAGACTAGTACATGGCTAAGAGCTTGTATTATAGAATGTAAAAATTTAAAAGCATACATGCTTTGTATTTATAATATGCAATCTTAATGCTCAAAAAAATTATATTTCAATCAGGATTCTGAGAACTGCACACAGGTCTAGTATCTGGTAGGTTTATTATTCAGAAAAATCTTTTATATAGCTATTTATAGTAATATATAGCATCAGATCAGTATAGTATAGGTTTTAAAATAGGGATATTTGCATCATCTATACTACTCTGTCACAATCTCAATAGTAGTGAATTCAAATAAAAACTATTATCAAATAAAATAAAAAATTAAAATAAAAAAAAACCAAATAAAATAAAAAACTAAAAATAAAAGAATATCGAATTAATAATACTCTCATTTTAAAAATTCTATATTTAGTCACTAAAAACTTTTTGTATTTTCAATTTTAGCCCTATCATAATAGGAAAAAAAAAGAATAAAGTTATCTTAGTTGGAAACTTGCATAATGACTAAAGGAAAATAATATATGATCATTACTAAAAAAATCTAACAATTATTCAGAAAAAACTTGCAAAGTGAACCAAAGATGAATTCAAGTTAGCAAAAGCCCCTGGCCAAAGTACAATTTCTGATATTTTAAAAAGAAAAAATGAGTTTAATAAAATATTATTTGCTAATCTTGGAATTAAAAAGCGTCATATTATTATGTTTTCTAAGCTAGATATTGCTTTGGTGAACTGGGTACTGCAGTGTCAACATCAGGCTATATATTTGAATGAAGACATAATTAAAGCAAAGAGTAAAAGACTAGCAAATCTAATGGTGATAAGTCAATAGAAATCAAGCAATTTTTATAATAAATTTTTTTTAAAGTTTTGAATCCAAATAACTTAACAAAAATTTAATCAAATTTAATAAAATTTTTTTTTAAAATTAATTTCTTAAATTTGATCAAAATTTTGTTAAATAACTTTTAGTTTAAAGTTTTAAAAAACTTACTAAACAAAATTTACTTGATTTTTATTGACTTACCCTTTTTTTAATAAAGATCTCTAAAAGTGATCAGCCAGAATTTTCAAATAAGTAGTTGCAGGCTTTTCAAAAGAGACATAATTTTTGTCATTTTAAATTACATAGCAAAAGTGGTTCTGCTGATGTTGCTGCCATAGACCTAAAACTTTCTGATATCATTAATATTACTAATCAATATCCTCTTTGTGATATTTACAACATGGATAAGACTGATCTATTCTATACTATGGCTCCTAACTATACAATTGCATCTTGCCAAATTGAAGGGTTAAAAAAAATTGTATAAGATTCATAATTGCATTTACAGCCAATACAGATGGCATCTACAAACTTCAACTTTTAATCATTGAACATTCCACAAGCCTAAATGTTTTTTAAAAAAAACAAGTGAAGAGCTTGAATTCTATTACTATAACAATAAAAAAGTATAAATGATGGTCATGTTTTTTCAAGAATAGATAAAAAAACTGAACAAAGAAATAAGTAAATTAAACTGTTGTATTTTACTTATCCTTGATAGTACCCTCTTATATATTACTGATGCCCTCATCTTGACTAATGTAAAAATACTCACATTACTTCTATATACAACATCCAAAATACAACCAATGAATGCAGGTATTATTGTATCATTCAAACTTCATTATCATTATATTCAACTTCAATATGCAATTAATCTTGATAAAGCTGGGAAAAAAGATATCTATAAAATAGATCAATTGCAGGTAATGATACAAATCAAAAATGATTAGCCCATGAAAGCATCACTTAATGTTTCTATAATGCTTAACATCAAGTGATTTGACAAAAAAAAAAATTAGCCCAAATTGAAAACTCAAGAGTCAACTTTTTTTAGCATTAGTCATAAATTTTAAACTTACCAATTATTAAATAATAATCTGTTTGGTTAAGGTTGTTCTCAAGTACCTCTCTTTATGATTAACAAAATAATCTGACTGGCTAAAAAATAGATTGTATTTAATCATTTTGATCAAAAAAAAACTTGAACCTAATAACCATTCTTTTTTTTATAGAGTTACATTGACTAAAATTTAAATTTTGTATAATAAATTTCTGATAAAATTATTATAAGGATGGCTTTAATTAATTTTGATTAATTAAAATGATTGTGCAGCATCTTGATCATTAGCAAATCACATCAAGAGAGCTGTTTAAAAACCTAAATTAAAAAAATATAGTTAATTCTAATTAATATAGTTATACTAACCAAAGACTAATTAATAGATTGAAAAAAAAATTTATATTAACATATTATTGATTGCAGGCTATGAAATGAACTAAGATTTCTTGGAGTAAAGTATCAGATGAAATGATCCAAAGATGTTGGTTCTATACAAAAATCATATCTTCTTGTGATGAAAGTGGAATATCTGTTGTTTTCCCTATTGCTGTTGAAAGCATTGATAATGTAAAAGAAAACCTACCTCTTAATTCTAATGATCAACAAACAGTTAAAGAACTCTAACAGCAAATAGATATATTGAATTTTTATAATTTAATGCCAATTGAGGACTTGCTAAACCTTAATAAGGAACAAGAAGTATATTATCAGTTTACTGATAAAAACCTAATTCAGACTGCTATAAAAATAGAACAGGTAGAAAATGAATTTGTTGCACTGCCTCTAACTGGAGAAAAACAATTGAATATTTTACATAGTGCTCTAAGGATTGTTGATGAAAGAATTTATGATGGTAGAGTAACAATAAAAACATTACACAAGCTATAAACCTATATTCATAAAGAGGTTCAAAAAGAAAAAGCCAAAAAGCAAGTCTAGCATAAATTAGAACAATACTTTCAAGCCTGAAGACAATATCTATTTGTAAGTTCCTGCATAATTATTCCTAAACTATAAATATCTGAAAAAATAGTTTCAGTATTATCTTTTTTTTTTCCTTCACTAAACTAATATGAAAAAGGAATTTTACTTAAAAAATTAAGAATAAAATAATGAAAAATTATACTGGCAAAACTTAATAACTTTATTGGTATAAAAGAAAAAAAGCTATTTAAATAGTAAAAGAATTTTAAATATTGAAAAAATTTTTTTACTGATTAATAAATATGGTGTAATGTAAATGACTATGCTTGTACTTAAATATGAACTGTATATGCTACTCTCTTTTACTTTCTTGATCACCTACTTTTTTTGCTTTATTAAATTCAAGATTCTGATTGATCATTAATTATGTGACTACTTTCGATAAATCAGAAACTTGTGCATTTGGACTATTAGATATCCGAAATAGCAGATTATTGAGTATGAATGAAGGAACAGACCTGGTAGATCGATTTTTGACTGATTATAACAGGTTATCAGTTTTGACAAAATTGGTTTGAGGAGGTTGACAGTATATATTAATAATATACCAAAAAAAAATTTACTGCAAAAACTTAATAAATTTATAATTACATATAAATATTAGCTGAAATATACTGTAGTTTGTAACAATTTTTGCAAATATATATACTAAATATATATTAAGTAGCTAATAATAATACTAGAATATTTTATAACTGATTATTTTTATAAAATTATATATAATATTTAAATGTAAGTTTCTTTACAAATC